GGAGGGGCAGCGAAGGAGAGGAAGACCTTTGATGAAATGGATTGATTCTGTGACTGGAGCGGTGGGAATAAGTGCATTTGAGATGGCTAGGTTGGCACAGGATAGAACAGCACAGCACTTAGAGCTCTTGTACATAGGGTCGCTATGAGTTGCAAGCGACTCGATGGCACATAACAACAACAACAAAATTCAGAACAATTGTGTAGGCCAGCAGCAAATCCTGAGAACGCTCTCCCTTTCCTGATGGTTTAACTGAAGAACGTAATGCCACAGGTACAAATGGAGCCAGTACATCTGTTGTCTATCTCCTTGCGGCTGGGGTTTTTATCTGGTTTGCTACTGTTATAGTTCCCAGGAAAGCATATGAAACCCAGTAGATACTCAATAAATCAGGAGATGGAAAAGCACCCCCATGTGGAAAAACCAAAATGACAAACTGAAAGTATAAACAGGTCTAGGAGCTGAATTTGAAAATGGGTAGGTAAAACCACATTTTAGTATCTACATGGAGATCTCAATTGTAGTCTATAAATTTACAGGACAATTTTGAGTCAAATGATACTAGCGATTTTCTGAGACATAACAGAACGAAGAGCATTTTAAAAAGCAAGCTAGGTATATTACTTTTAGGTTATTTGGTTCTAGGAAGATATGAAACTATTTAATATTTCAATTAATATTTAAGTGCCTATGAAGGCCCAGGGGCACAGGTGGTGCCTGAGTAAAGTAAAAGTTCGTGGTCTGAACCACCAAGCAGAGATGTGCAGAGCAGATGTGCAATCTGCTTCTAATGCTCACGGCTACAAATACCCTAAAGAGCAGCAACAGATATCCATCAGCACCCTGGCTGGCAGGTGTCAGAGAATCAGCAGATACCATCATAAAAGTGGTGAAGACTTGGGGTGGGGGTGTGCTGGGGGGATTGTGTACCAATGAAGGAGTTTTTCTTTTGCTTATCAAGAAGAGGAGCAAACTGGGGGTGGGGGGGGGGGGTAGGGTAGGCGGGGAGAAAAGTACAACAATGAATGAATGGAATTCCAAAATCTCTGTAGATGTTCATTGAAATTAATAAGGGGAGCTCTGGTGGTCTAGTGGCAAGAAGCTGCAACTACAATCCCAGAGGTGCACGGTTCGAATCCACCAGATGCTCTGCCGGGGAAGGAGGGGCAATCTCCTCCTGTACCAGTCAGATCTGATTTGACGGTACACGCACACAAAATAATAAA